ATACAGAACATTTCTATCATCCCTAAAAGTTTCTTTGTGTCTCTTTTCAGTTATTACAGTCATCCTTCAAAATCCCAAGGCAACAATTGTTCTAATTTCTGTCATTACAGATTAGTTTCGCAGGTCCTGAACTTCACGTAAATGGAATCATATCATATGTGCTCTTTTGTGTCTGTTTTCTTTGCTCTGTGTAATGTTTTTGAGGTTTATTGATTTTGATGGCTATATCTATAGTTTGTGCCTTTCAAGTAGTATACATGTGTGTGAAAATACAATTTATCTCTTTTCTTAGTGATGGACATTTGAGTTGCTTTCACTTTTTGGCTGATGTGACTAAAGTCATTGAAAATTATTGTACATGTCTTTTGGGGACATACTATTTCTTTTGGGTAAATGTCTAGGAGTGGAATTGCTGGGTCATAGTATAGATATATGTTTAACTTTTTTAGAAACTGCCAAACAGTTTTCCAAACTGATACCATTTTTTACTCCGCTAGTAATATATAAGCATTTTAGTTTCTCCACATTGATATCAAAACACTTGATGTTGTCAGTCTTTTTAATTGTAAATTACGTGGTAGTGGTATTTTGTTACGGTTTTAATTTGCATTTCTCTGATGAATAACAACGGTGAGCAACTTTTCATGTGCTTATTGACCATTTTATATCTCTTGTGAAGTGTCAGTTCTTTTGCCCATTTTTTTGTTGGATTGTCTTTATTATTCAGTTTTAGAAATAAAAAAAAATTCTGGTTGTGAGTCCTTTATGATGTGTGTGTGTACATACATGTATAGTGAGGGAGTGGGAGGAGGAGAGGAAGTGAGGGGTGAATATTTTTTCCTATTTTATGGTTTGACTATTTAAAAAAAATTGAGGGGAGGGGTAGTTAGGTTTATTTATTATTTTTTTAGAGGAGGTGCTGGGGATTGAACCGGAGACTTCGCACATGTTAAGCATGCCCCCTACCACTTGAGCTACACCTTCCCCCTGCCTATTGTTTTCAATGGTGTCTTTTGATGAACGGAAAATTTTAATTTGGTTGAAGTTAAAATTTGTCATTATTTTCTTTTTATGTTTATTATGTGTTGTAAGAAAATTGTACCTGTATTGGGATTGTGAAGACACTGTCCCATTTTTTGTTTTTGAAGAGGCTTTACAGTGGTGGCTTTTTTTTTTTAACTTAACACAATCTAAATTTATTGCCTTTGTTCTGCACTCCAGGGAAGGTTCCTCTCACCCTGGAACCCAGATTCCTTCCACTTTTATTTTTTAATTTTTATTTATTTATTTATTAAACATTTTTTATTGATTTGTAATCATTTTACAATAGTGTCAAATTCCAGTGTACAGCACAATTTTTCAGTTATACATGAACATATATATATTCATTGTCACATTTTTTCCTCTGTGAGCTACCATAAGATCTTATATATATTTCCTTGTGCTATACAGTATAATCTTATTTATCTATTCTACTATTTTGAAATTCCAGTCTATCTCTTCCCACCCCCACCCCCTTGGCAACGACAAGTTTGTATTCTATGTCTGTGAGTCTATTTCTGTTTCGTATTTATGCTTTCTTTGTTTGTTTGTTTGTTTTTTAGATTCCACATATGAGCGATCTCATATGGTATTTTTCTTTCTCTTTCTGGCTTACTTCACTTAGAATGACATTCTCCAGGAGCATCCATGTTGCTGCAACTGGCATTATGTTGTCGGTTTTTATGGCTGAGTAGTATTCCATTATATAAATATACCACATCTTCTTTATCCAGTCATCTGTTGATGGACATTTAGGCTGTCTCCATGTCTTGGCTATTGTAAATAATGCTGCTATGAACATTGGGGTGCAGGTGTCTTTTTGAAGTAGGGTTCCTTCTGGATATATGCCCAGGAGCGGGATTCCTGGGTCATATGGTAAGTCTGTTCCTAGTCTTTTGAGGAATCTCCATACTGTTTTCCACAGTGGCTGCACCAAACTGCATTCCCACCAGCAGTGTAAGAGGGTTCCCTTTTCTCCACAGCCTCTCCAGCATTTGTCATTTGTGGATTTTTGAATGATGGCCATTCTGACTGGTGTGAGGTGATACCTCATCGTAGTTTTGATTTGCATTTCTCTGATAATTAGTGATATTGAGCATTTTTTCATGCGCCTACTGATCATTTGTATGTCTTCCTTGGAGAATTGCTTGTTTAGGTCTTCTGCCCGTTTTTGGATTGGGTTGTTCATTTTTTTCTTATTGAGTCTTATATATTCTATTTATATATTCTGGAGATCAAGCCTTTGTTGGTTTCATTTGCAAAATTTTTTTCCCATTCCGTAGGTTGTCTTTTTGTTTTACTTATGGTTTCCTTTGCTGTGCAGAAGCTCGTAAGTTTCATTAGGTCCCATTTGTTTATTCTTGCTTTTATTTCTTCTAGGAGAAAATCTTTGAGATGTATGTCAGATAATGTTTTGCCTATATTTTCCTCTAGGAGGTTTATTGTATCTTGTCTTATGTGTAAGTCTTTGATGCATTTTGAGTTTATTTTTGTGTATGGTGTAAGGGAGTGTTCTAGCTTCATTGTTTTACATGCTGCTGTCCAGTTTTCCCAACACCATTTGCTGAAGAGACTGTCTTTATTCCATTGTATATTCTTGCCTCCTTTGTCAAAGATTAGTTGACCAAAAGTTTGTGGGTTCATTTCTGGGCTCTCTATTCTGTTCCATTGGCCTATATGTCTGTTTTTGTACCAATACCATGCTGTCTTGATAACTGTAGCTCTATAGTATTGTCTGAAGTCTGGGAGAGTTATTCCTCCAGCCTCTTTCTTTCTCTTCAGTAATGCTTTGGCAATTCTAGGTCTTTGATGGTTCCATATAAATTTTATTATGACTTGTTCTAGTTCTGTGAAATATGTCCTGGGTAATTTGATAGGGATTGCGTTAAATCTGTAGATTGCCTTGGGCAGTGTGACCATTTTAACAATATTGATTCTTCCAATCCAAGAGCATGGGATATCTTTCCATTTTTTAAAGTCTTTAATTTCCTTCATCAATGGTTTATAGTTTTCTATGTGTAATTCTTTCACCTCCTTGGTTAGATTTATTCTTAGGTATTTTATTACTTTGGGTGCTATTTTAAAGGGGATTGTTTCTTTACTTTCTTTTTCTGTTGATTCATCGTTAGTGTAAAGAAATGCAACTGATTTTTGAACGTTAATCTTGTAACCTGCTACCTTGCTGAATTGTTCGATCAGCTCTAGTAGTTTTTGTGTGGTATAGGGGTAGCTTTGTATTCAGGTTTATCATTCCTCTTCTTTTTAACAACTTAATTGAGATACAAATGATTTACAATAAAGTACAGATGTTTAAGTGTAAAATTTGATGAGTTTTGACATATGTAGACACCTGTGAAATAATCACCATAGTCAAGTTAGTGAACGTAACCATCATCTCTCAGATTTCCTCTTACCCCTTTGGGGGTCCTCCCTCCCACCCTTTTTTGCCCCTCCACCTCCAAGCAAATACTGATCTCCTTATGAATGATCCATCTTGCATTATTTTTTGTGTGAGGTGGAAACAGGGTACATTTCCGCCCACGTATGCATTATACAATCATTCTGGTGTCATTTGTTGAGAAGACTCTATCCATTGAATTGTGTTGGAGGCTTTGTTATAAATTAATTGTATATATATATGCAGGCTTATTTTTGGGCTTTCTCTTACGTGCCATTGGTCTGTTTTTCTATGCCCGCACCATGCTGTCTTAATTGCTGTAATTTTACGGTCATTCTGGAAATCAGGTAGTGTAAGACCTCCACCTTTACTCTTGTACAAAGTCATCTTGCCAGTTTTGTAATAAGCTCTTAAACTTGTATGGAAATTTTTGTTAGGAGTTTGGCTGGGATTACATTCAATATATAGATCAACTTTAGAATTGAGGTATTAACTTCAGGTTTTCTGATCTGTGCACATGGTATATCTCTCCATTTATTTAAATTTTCTTTAATTTTTCTTAGCAATGTTACAGTTTTTGATGTGAAGTTACACTTTTTTCATTCAGTATGTTTGTAGGTATTTAATATTTTTGACATCATTTAGAATATTTTTACATTGTTTTTCAATTATTTGTTAATGTGCAAAAACACAGTTGGTTTATGTATACTGAATGTTACCCTGCAACTTTGTTCAATTCACTTGTTTTCACAATGGGTTTGTATATTCCTTTGGGTTTTCTATCTACATAATCATATCATTGGCAATAGGGACAGTTTTACTTTTTCTTTTCAATTGTTATGCCTTTCATTTCTTTTTCTTTATTGTGCTAGCTAGAAACTCTAACATAGTGTTGAATGGAAGTGGTGATGATGGGCTTTCATGGTTGAGAAGGTTGCCTTTTAGTCTTATTTTATGAAATGTTTGTACCGTGAAAGGGTGTTAGATTTTGTCAGAGGCCTTTTCCTCATCTGTTGGGATGTTGATTTGGTTTCTGTCCTTTATTCTATCAATATAATGTGTCGTGTTAATTGATTTTCAGGTGTTATGGCAAATTTGCATTCTGAGGATAAATCCCCTTGGTATGGGGTATATAATCCTTTTGAAACATGGCTGGATTTGGTTTGCAGTGTTTTGTTAAAAAGACTTATGTATATGTGTTCATAAGAGATATTTGCATATGACTTTTTTTTAATTTTGTATGATATCATTGATTTTGGTATCAGTGTAATACCAGCCCCATAGAATAAATTGGGAAGGTCTTGCATCCCTTTTTGTAGGTTGGGTTGCTATATGGGATCATTTTCCTTCAGCCCGAAGCACTTCCTTCAGTATTTATCATATTGTGGGTGTGCTGGGGACAGGTTCCCTCAACTTTTGTTTGCCTGAAAAAATATTTACCCTTTAGTTTTGAAGGCTATTTTTGCTAGATATAGAATTCTAGGTTGACAGCTTTTTTCTTGTAGCACTTTGGAAAAGTTATTCCATTGTCTTTTTAGCTTCTGTTGCATCTGATGACGAGTCTTTCATTCTTACTTTTGTTCACCTGGGATCTTTTTTTTCCTGCTGTGTTTAAGATATTTATTTATTTTTATTAAATTCTTTATTAATTTTCTCTTCAATTTGACCATAATTTTCTAGGTATGCTGTTTTTATATTTATCCTTCTTGGGATTTACTTAGTTCCTTGGATCTGTGGGTTGATATATTTAATCAGTTTTGGAAACTTTTTGACTATTGCCTCTTAAATATTTCTTTGCCTCATAATCTTTTTCCTCTCTCCTTGGTATTCCAGTGATACCTATTTTCGATTGATGTTGTCCCATAGGTTTTGAATAACTGGTATTAAAATTTTTTTTCTCTCTTTGTTTACATTTGTATATTTTCTCGTTATCTATTTTCAAATTCATTGCTTGTCTTCTTTGTTCTCATTCTGTTATTAATTCTATCCAGTGATGTTTTAATTTTAGTTTCAGACACTGTACTTTTCAGTTCTAGAATTTCCTTTTGGTTCTTCTTTCAAGTTCGCATTTCTCTGCTAATACTCTCTTCCTGTTCATTTCTTCTGTCCTCTTTCCCCCAAATCCTTTAACATATTTGTAATTGATGTTTTGAAGTTCTCATCTGCCAGTTCCAGTGTATACTTGTTTGTGGGTCCTGTAGATTGTTTTTTCTCTTGATCATGGGTCACATTTTTCTGCTTTGCAGTTCTAGTAATTTTTGTTTGTTTGTTTGTTTTGGGTGGGGGAGATATTAGGTGTGTGTGTGTATGTATCTGTTTTTAATGGCGGTGCTGAGGATTGAACCCAGGACCTTGTACATTCTAAGCACACACTGTTCCACTGAGCTATACCCTCCCCACCTAGTAATTTTTTTATTGCATAATAGACATTTTGGATGATATATTCTAGAAACTGTTTTAGGTTATCTTTCCATAAAGAGTGTTGAGTTTTGTTAGCGTAGACTGTTACATTACCAGAAGATCATCTTGATCCTGTAGAAGGTTTTCTAGAGTGGATCTGTTTTGGTTTCACACTAAATTTTAAGGCATAGCCTTTAATTCTGGTACATGGTTTTTACTTGTAAGGCATGGCCCTTCTTGAGTTTTAATAGAAAATCCTTCTAATTTAGTAGAATTTAAACTCCAAATTCTGTCTTCACAGTGCCGGACAGCTGCTGAAATCTTTGCTTAGCTCTTTCACCTCACAACAGCTGTTTTCTGCTCAGTTTCTTTTTTTTTCTTTCTTTTCCAGCTTTGTTGAGATATAATTGACAAATAAAATTTTAAGATATTTGAAGTATATCATGATTTGACATATGTATACACTGTGAGAGGATTCTTCCCGTCTAGTTGTCATATCCAGTCATACATACCTGTGTGTATGTGTGTATACATCCATGTATACATATATGTATATATACACACATTTACAATGAGAACATTTAAATTCTACTCTTTCAGCAAATTTCAATGATACGGTGCATTGTTATCAACTGTGGTCACCAAGTAATTTAAAAAGTAGCTATGTTGAGAGTTGAGGAGCAGGATGAAGGGACAGGGTGGGTGAGGCTTCTGTCTGGTGCACTCTTCTGAGGTTCTTTTACAAAGTTTGGACTATTTTTGGCTGTAATTTCGTGTATTTTTATATACTATTTCCTCATATTTCATTGGGATTTCAGTAACATGTATGGTGGACCATTTAATATTACATAGGTCACTGAGGCTTTATTCATTTTTAAAAAAGCCTTTTTTCTTTCTTCTCAGATTGCGTGGTTTCTCTTGATCTTTTTTAGGTTCACTGACACTTTCAGTCTCCAGTTTTTTATTAAGTTTATCCAGTATATATTTTTATTTCAGACATTGTATTTTTTAGTTCTATAATAGTCGTATGTTTTTCTGTGGTTTCATTACTGTGCTGAGATTTTTATCTTTTCACTCATTATCACTATCTTTTCCTTTAAGTCCTTGAACTTGTTTTTTGTTATTGTTATTGTTACGATGATGATGATGATGATGATGATGATGAATTCCACCATCTGAGACATCTTGGGATCTAATAGTTGCTTTTTAATTTTAAAAAATTACACATTTTCCTCCTGCTTTATGTCTTATTTATTTTTTTAATTATATGTTGATACCTTGATTATGGCTTGAGTTTTCTTCTGGTACATAGTTAAATTACTGGAAGATCTTTTTGGTCCTGTCTGGCTTGGTTTTATTCTTTGAATAGGTGTGTTTTGGTTTTGAACTTAGTCTTTGGGTGTGGCCTTTGCTCCAGGTTGTAATTTCTACTCTGCAGGTGTGGCTTTACTGGCCTTATGCAGCGGGGTGCCTGAGAGCGCTCCATGAGGTTTTCCATTCTGCCTGGATTGGGACTCCAACACGTCCCAGGCCTGCAGGACATCTAGTGTCTAGGTTCAGCTCTCAGTCCCACTGCTCCCCGCTGAGCAGGTGTGTGGGGCTGCGACACCCGTTGTGTAGTTTTGACTTTGGTAAATATTTAACATAGGTAGAAAACAAAATTAAAGAAGAAACAATAACAAAAAAGCAATTCCCTCCAATTGAACAGAAACACAAACAAGTGGACCTAACTGCACCAAGTTGGAGTCATAATCACACGGGGAAACTACTTCAGGAAAAGAAGAGGAAGTTGGTTGTAAGCGTACGCAGTGGTCTTTAGTACTAAGTAACTGTTATTGTGAAGCGAGTGCAACTGTATTATAAGTTAGAGCACATTAGAAGTTGTATGAATCTTGTTCATAAACAAGACTTGCAACAGAAGTCTGAGCTACTTAGGGTCTACATGTTAGGCTCTAAATCCCTCTTCCAGCCAGCGTGTGCTTCTAGCCACGTTGTTAGCTTTGTGACCTTGAGTAATGGAAATGCAAATTAAGATGAGGATTCCACTTCACACACACCAGAATAGCAAAAATGAAGAAGTCTGACCATACCACCATGGGTAGGCAGTCTGGGGGAACAGGAATACGGTGGGAGGATGTATTGATTTCATAAAGCACTTTGGAGAGCAATTTAGTAACATCTAAACTTGAAAGCATCTGTCCTGTGACCCAGCAATTTCACTGTCAGGCAAAGCAGAAGGATGCGTATTCAGAATGTTTAGGGCAACCTTGATGATGGTAATAAATCATAAACGACCTAAAAGTACCTCAGTAGGGAAATGGGTAAAAAGTGCCTTCTTATGTGAAGGAATAGTGTATTTAAAATGAAAGAATTAAAGCTAAAATGAAAGAATTAAAGCTAGGTGTATCAATATAGGTTAGTTCTGAAAATACAAAATTGAGCTTAAGACAGTTGGAGAGCACCCATATGTGTTATGAAAGTATTTAAATATATTCTTAAAGCAATGTTATTACTTATGGTTACATAAGTAGCAAAACAATGAAATTATGGGCACTGCAAATTAATGATTATCTCTGGAGGAAGAGGGTTGAATGGTTTGTGGATTTCCCAATGTATTAGAATTTTTTTTTTAAGTAGGTGGCATATGTGAGCAAATGTTAACATTTACTAAATCTCAATACATGGAATTTGTTTTATTTCTCTCTGGAGCTTTTTTATTTAAAACTTTTTTCATAATTTAAAATAAATAAAAATACTTAAAACTAGGTTATTATAACGTAGTGATTCTCTAGAAGAGGCATAAACAGACTCTTATGAGAGCACCGAGGAGGCCTCAGAAAAGCCTGATGAAAGTGGTTGTCGTTGAATTCCAGGCAAGGAGGGAAGGTGGGACAGCGAGTGTTGCGGCCATGGAAGACCCAGTGCCGAGGCGTCAGCTGTGAGGGACACGCAGCATATGCAGGAGATGTAAATGCGGTGTGGTTGGGGAGTTGGGTGGGGCTGAGGAAGGAAGGCCTCAGTGGTGATGTGTGGCGGCCCCGTTTAACGTGTCCTGCTGTTGAGGCTCACAGTGTGCCCTCTGTTCCCTTTCCTCTTTTGCTGCCTTTCTTTGGATTAAGGGTGTATTTACGACTCTTTGGGGTCTTTGTGTGTCTTTCAGGCCTCTGTGTAACACGTCTACTCTGCCCTCTAGGCTGTGAGCGTGTGGAGGTGTGACAGGTGTTCGTGTGTCCCTGCCTCTTCTCCACCGCCAGAGTCGCTTCTGGGCTTTCTTGTGTGCCTGCCACTTTTGATTAGATGCCAAGATGCTGTGAATTTTGTCTTGTTAGTTACTGAGTATTTTTGTATTTCTGTAAACATTCTTGACCTGTGTTCTGGGATGTGGCTAAGTAACTTGGAAACAGTTTGATTCTGTGGGTCTGGTTTTTAGGTTTTGTTAGGCGGGACCAGAGTCATGTTGAGTCCAGGGCTCATTTTGCCCCACCTTCTGAGTACTTTGTCCAATGCCCCGAGGATTAGAAAGTTTTCACTGTGACTGGCAGGGGGAGTACCTTTCTCTGGCCCCGTGTGACCTTGGGGGATCCTTCCCACTAATCCCTGGTTTGGGTTCCTTTCTCACACACATGCACTGATGTGTACCTGGCTGGAGACAGCAGATCTTCATTGCTGTCTGTGCAACTCTGTCCCCTCCAGTGCCTGACCTGTGAACTTGAGCGCCTTGGCCTCCCTGGCCTCCCAAGGCTGTTTCTTCACTTTAGGAGACAGCTGGAGCCCACCATGTCCCTCTGCTGTGACCCAGGACTACTTGTCAGGCAGAAAGTTAAAGGGCCCTTCTTGTTTTCCTTCTGTCAGGGATCACTGTTCTTCATTGCCTGATAGCCAGTATCTTCAGAACCATTTCATGTGTTTATAAATCTGGTCCCTGTTACTTCGTCTTGGCCAGAAGCAAAAGTATCAAAATCAGGTACTTGAATGAAGTTACTAGGTAGCGTGGAACATACTCATGGGCTCCGCAAGAGTGCTGACCCCTTCTTGCTTGGGATGCCTCGGGGGACAGCAGAGGCGGGCCTTTCCTGGGTGGACATCATGGGAGTCCATGTGTTTAGGGAAGGAGTTGGGGACAGGGCTTGGGAGAAAAGTTTCACAGGAAAACCCAGGCTACAGGGTGAGATCCTAAGGGCCTGCTGAGAAGGAAGACCCAGCAGCGCCTGGGCTGGAGGATCAGGTGACCAAAGGCTGGTACCTGCAGTGGGAGGGTGTGGGGATGGTGACGCTGTCAGGAGTGCGAGTGTGGGTGGTGCTTGGGGTATGTGCATCTGAGGAGGTGGTGTCACTCAGTCCCCGGCGGCACGTCCCTCCTGATGCCCCGGCTGTGTGGCGCTTGTCAAAAAGGTGTATGTTACAAAAGCTCTGGTTCACAGTCAGAATAAACAGGCCTAAGGCTCCTTATAGAGGTACTTTCTTACTTTGAAACTGTGTGAAATGCTAAAAAACCAATTTTGAATTATTTAGCTTAGTAATTATGGAATGTTAGATGTGCCAACTTTAAAAATGAAACAGCCTGTTATTTTACCAGAAAAATGGGTTTATTTGAGTGTAGCAGAGAATTGCAATTTGGGACAGCCAAGTTATAGCAAAAGCCATGGACAATTCCCATAAACAAAGCAGAGGAACATTATAGAGAAAAAGGAAGAAGTTGAGAGGGGCTGTTTTGAACAGAAGTCCATTGGAGGAAAGTGAGAGTTCAGAGTGGTAATGCTTTCTCACTGACTAAGGTGCTGGGCAACAAGAAACCTCCCTCCATGAAGGTCTGGGATTGAGGCTGAGAGGTAGTGGGTGAGGGCTCCCCTTCTCGCCTCCCAATTCCATTTTATTTTGTTAAATTTTTATTTATGTATATATTTATTTTTAAATTGACATACAGTCAGTTACAATGTGTCAGTTTCTGCTGTACAGCACAATGTCCCAGTCATGCACCGGCTCCATTTTATATGAAGTTCCCTTTGTTCTGTTTCACAGATGTAAAAAGATTTTCCCATTTTAGGTTATAACACTGACTTATTCCTGGTTTACTAGCACAACTTGGAGGGCCTCTTTCTGTTAGATTTTTCTGTAAAATTAAAAAATAGACAAATGTGCAAAAAAACATAATGAATACCCATGTACTCATCTCCCAGCTTCGACAGTGATCAGTACTTTGCCAGGTGCTTTGTTTTTTTTAAATCTATCCAGTTTTCTCTCACACTTTTAAAATTTGTTTGGTTCTTGTTTTTTGGTGGAGTGTTTTAAAAGTAAATCCCAGAAATAATGTTATTTCACCCATGAATACTTCACTTTTTTCCTCTAACAGTTAAGGGAAGTCTTTATTTTTAAAAACATAGCCAGCATGTCGTTGTCACAACTAAGAGAATGATAGTAATTCCTTAATGTCATCTAATACCAGCCCCTATTCAGGTTTCCCCAGTAGCTTCAGAAATATCCTCTTCCAGCTGATTTGTTTTAATTGGACCCAAACAAGATCTAAATATTACATTTGATGATTATGTCTCTTAGCCTCTTACATTCTTGAACTGCTACCCCTCCTTATTGCTAAGCATAAATTTCAAAAAATAAAATCATGACTTTCATGCGGATACGAAAGGAACAGTCCTGGGCTGTGCTGGCCCGTGTTTTTGCTGCAGGCCTTGGTGTCAGTCAGTTCTCCAAGGGGTGCTGATCACTTCATTTGGAAGTGGTGCTCAGAGACCACACCTGGAGCACTCTGGGAGCCGTGAGGGTCCCTAATGAGCTTTCCGGTCATTTTGTGACCAGGATGTGTGTGTGTGGATGGTGACGGTGTGTGGTCGTGGAACGGCTGCACAGAGACCCTTCTCGTGTCCCTGAACTGCAGCCGCTGGCCTTGTCGACCAGACACAGAGTGGGTGTGTATTGCCAGTACTGATCTCCTTGGAACAGGCAGGGACGAGGGAGTTTTAGGTCCTCAGTCGTGGAAGGTTCTGATGATTCGGGTGCTAATAAAGATCAGGATTTTTGTTTTCCTTTTCCCTGTCATTTTGGTAAGTTAACGTTACAAAAGTAGAACTTAAAGTAAGTTTTTTTCCTGTTATTTTTCAGGTGAAGAGATTATAAACTGTCCACTGAATGAAAAAATTTTTCTTCAAGTGGCATATATTCCAAGAAAAAACCCCAAATGTTGCATTTTGCCTGAATACAGAATTTAAACAAGGAGTTTCCACAGAAGGTAAGATAATTTTCTTTTTTGATTCTGCTTTATTGTGTATTTATACACGTATTCTGTGTAAGTGAATGTTCAAAGATGGATGACAGCAAAAATTGTAGTTTTGAAGATGTGCGTATGGTTTCCTGACTTTCACGGGTTTTGATGGTCCTGTGTCTGATTTTGAGATGCTGTGTGTGGGAAGGTTACTTGGTCTCTCCAAGCCAAGGGAAGCCCAGTAAAAGGGGCAGCCAGGCACGTGCAGGGAGGTCTGTGCGCGTGTTCTGTTGAGGTTGCCATCCCCAGTGCGGTCCACATATAGGTGGAGAGGGAAGAAGGGACTTGTGCCCCACAGAGTGGATGCTCCTCCAAGGCTCTCCTGTTGCAGTCCAGTTAGATGTGGTTCAACGACATGTATATAAATTATTCTGAGCACGTATGTGCGTTAAGAATTAAGCCAACTCTTCAAAGGCCAAAAGAGAAAAAGAAAAGAAATAGTATTGTGATAGAATTCTTTTGTTCCTTGCTGAAGAAAATAAAAATTGTTTTCAGAGCAAAGAATATTCAGTGTAGGCCCTTGGGATTTCTATAGATTAAATTGAAGCAAACTTGAATGCACATTCAGGACACACACAGACCACTGTGAGGGGAGCTGGCATAATTAGGTGCCCTAAGGGCCGCAGATATTGAATAATCAGATGCAACATACGTAATAATGTGTGAAATGTTTGAGGAAATGCAAAATAGAGTAAAAATTCATAACGAAAATCAAAGTATGAAAACGAACCAACTAGAAATTTCGGAAATAAAAAAGAAAGTTGAAATTAAAAACTCGCTGTAAGTGGATTAAACAGATTAGACGTAGCTGAAGACAGAGTTAGGGAACTGGAATATACCCCTGAAGAAGTTACCTAGTTTGCAGCATTGAGAGGTGGGAGATGGAAAGTGAGGCTGAGAAACGGAGGGTAGATAAAAGTGTTCTGAGTGTGTGGTGGGGCCCCAGGACAGAGACTTGAAGAGAACAGGAGCAGGCATTGTTCAGAGTACTGATCGCTTTGACTTTTCAGAAATGAACGAAGGAGATAAATCCATAGACCCAGGGAGCTCTAGGAAGCACACTGTGTCCTAACCTGTATAAAAGTGTAAAAGGAAACCCATGCCTGCACACTGAGATTGTATAGCACCAAAGCCAAGAAGCCTGTGAGCCAGAGGTAAGAGACGGAGTCCCTGCAAGGAACATCTGTGAGGCGGAGAGAAGATGTCTCGTTAGTATGAATAGAGCCCAGTAGAGTGTGGAGTAATTCCTCAAAGTGATGAGAGAATATGAATTTTAGTATAGAATTGTGTATCAGGTATATTTTGCAAAAAAACAGCAATGTTTTTATGTTTTTGATAAATGTTAGGCTAGGTTATTTGGACTACCTTCTGTCCTCCCCTTCCCCACCCTACAGAAAACAGCTAACGTCGTGTTAAAGAGAAAATCAGAGGGCTGACAATACAGCAAGGAAGTTTTAGGCCACAGAGTAACAGAAAGAACCAGAAAGGTAGTTTAAGCACCATAGGATGGAGTCTGCCTTTGCCCTAGGGCGTTGCTCATCTGGACAAAGTAGAGCGTGGACGTCAGAGGCCTCGTCGGCCTCTGAGGTGAAGTGAAGATACACAGTCCTCTCAGGTAGAGGATAAAGGGGACCCTCCCCGTATTAGGTGGGGCTCTGAAGGTCTGTGTCCGCAGAGTCAGGGTGAACTAGAACCATCCTGCCCCCACCTGGTTGTCTTTTACTAAATGTAGCCGGAAAAACGGGGAAACCTGTGCCTGCAGATTAGATTAGCCTTTGTGAGGAGTTGTACCCCAGGTTCACGCTGCCTGGTAGTTCAGAGAAATCAAGCATGAATTGAAGGTTTTCTGGTTTGGTAATACCTTCAGGCATCCTATGGGACCAAACATAAAACCTTTCTGGAGGAAGTTACGGTCATCCTAGAATGCAGAAAATTCCTATGGGTATTTTTTAAGGGCAGGGATTAGTACACAGCCAAAACTGACCCAGCACACAGGGAAGTAAGGCACCAGGCATGGGAAGCCACAGCACAGGCCTCGAAGGCGTCAGGCTGGGGGCTGCCAGGAACAGAGTGTTAACTAAGTGCACTCTCTGTCTTTAAAGAGACACTTAAGGAAATGAAAACATCCGCAGGAAGCAGTAAAAGGCGATGTGTAATATTTGAAAAGAACCAGATATAACTTCTTTATATAGAACCAGTATAAAGAATTTCTTACGTGGTTTTTTTAAACTTACATATATATATTTATTGAAGTATAATCAGTTTACAGTGTTGTGTCAGTTTCTGGTGCATAGCACAATGTGTCAGTCATACATGAACATACATATATTCGTTTTCATATTATTTTTCACCATAAGTTACTACAAGATACTGAATATAGTTTCCTGTGCTATATAGTATGAGCGTGTTTATTTTACATATACTCATATGGGTTTAATACTGAATTATATAGTAAAGAGATAATCAGTGAACCAGAAAGCATGACAGGAGAAGGCACCCAGAATGAAGCACAGAGCAAATGATGGAAAATACAGGGCAGAGGGTCTAGCTCAGTGGTAGAGCACGTGCTTAGCATGCAGGAGGTCCTGGGTTCAATCCCCAGTGCCTCCATTAAAAAAGACAATGTAGAGTAGAGGTTAGGCAGCATGGAGGATAGCACGAGAATGTCTAATGTATGTTAAATGGGCATTTTATAAAAAGGAGAATGGGGGCAGATCTATCATTCGAAAAGATAAAGGCTAGAGATTTTCAAGAATTGGTGGAAAAAATCACATTGAAAAAGACAGATGAATCATAAGCAGGATAAATTAAAAGCAAATTTCCAGCTGGTTGAAGAGAGTAAAGCTGCAGAGCTGCAGAGACAAAGAGGGACCCTGAAATGAACCAGAGGAATGAGGTTAATGAACAGTGGTCACACTGAGCTTGCTTCTCAGCTGTGGCCGTGGAAGTCAGGGGCCAGTGAAAGAATAGTATCTTTATTGTCCTAAGAGTGAGCAGTTGCTAATTTCTAACTCTGTGTCTGTCAAAAATATCTTTCAAGAATGAGGTGGAGATGAATACACTTTTAGGAAAACAGAATCTGAGAGTTTATCAGTAGCAGTCCTTTACTAAAGACATTTCTAAATGTGCAGAAAGCAGTGATCCTAAGTGGAAGAACTAAAATTTGAGAGAGAATGAAAAGCAAATCTAACATTCATTGTTTGTAGTAGATACAGCGTCTTTTGAAGGGAAGTCAGGCCAGAATCACGTGAGGCATGAAAGCAGCGCACGCGTTGAGAGAGGAGGGGTTAGGAGCTGAGGCAGTCAGCGTCTGTGTAGTAGCAGGGCTTGGGAGAGTGCGGGTTGGTGTGGATTTTAATACGTGCACAGCGCACAAGCTCTGAGGAGCCGCAGTAAGAATAGAAACAGCGTGCAGCTTCCAAAGAAGTGGGAGAAGGCCGGGAAACTTCCTGTATTCTTATTAAAAGAAACTTTCAGCAGCCCTTATATTTGATAATATACTGAAAGCTTTCTCTGAGAAAGTGGGAGGGAGACAGGGGTGCTTGCTCTGACTGCTTCTGTCCAGGACTATGATGGGGATTTTAGCTGGCCCAGTAAGTGAGAAAATGGGGGAGAAGATAAGAGATTGGAATGGAAGAAACAAAACTGTTATTATTCATTGATGATGTGAACAAAGTTTTCTTTTGTATGTAAAAAGTCCAGAACAATCTACAGATAACAGTCAAATTAATAATCTTTTAGCAAGCTGCTGGATCCAAAATCAGCTTATAAAGATGAATTGTCATATCCCAGGAACAAACACATTGCAACGAAAAAGCTATGTGTATAGCAGCGTATACATCAGAAAGTACCTGGGGACACATCTGAATACAAGAAGGTGTGCAGGGTCCATAGGGCGAGCACTGTGCATTTTGAAACTGAAGAAAGGCTTGAGTGAGTGGACAGCTCCACCCTGGTTTAGGGTTAGAACATGCAGTGTTGTATGTAAATATTCCAGTGTCCTCCAAACTGGTCTAGAAATTCATTGTCATCTCAATCAAAAAACCCAAGGGCTTGCACGGGAGGATGGGGATAGGGAGGGTGGAACTGACCAGGTGACTTTGAAATGCTTGAAAATGAAAGTATCCTTGAGTAGTTGAGACAGTCTTGAAGACCTGCAGTCCATTCCGCGTGTGCAGACCTCGCTGAGACATGGCTTTGAAAGCCGGAAACGCTGGTATTCTTGCTGTTGGTGGGGTGTCCGTCGGTCTTGGTTTTTGCCTGTGGTGCCGGTTTTATTAATAGCGTGTCCTTTCATCATGAGTCCCCTTGGAATCTCATTATGCTATTTCTGGAAAGGCTTGACTGCACTTTTGGTTTTTAGTGTTTTGTTTGTTTGTTTGAGTTTCTCACATTTTCCCAAATGTAGAACTCCAAGTCAAGGAATAGTATCTGGTGATAGTAGAGAAAGGTTGCTTCTCTCCGGTCAGTCAGGGTGGTCAGGTGGGAGCGCCAGGCTGGCCCGTGAGGACCCTGGGCTCCTCACCTCTGCTGTGGTCGTAGTGCTGCAGCGGCAGTTGTCCTTCTACGGCCGGGAGAGGTGGGTGCATGTTAGGACTGGTGGAGCAGGGGAGGTGACACTGGTGAGGCTTAATAGTGCGTGTGAGTGACGTCACCCCCCTTCCTTTACTCGCCCAGAAAGTGCATTTTTTATATGCCAGACATATTACTTAAGTCCCATAACCTTTTGAAGAAAATATGGTCATTTTATAGGTGAGAAAACTAAAGCTCAGGGAGGTTAAGAAGCTTGCTCTAAGTGTATTAAGGCCCGGACTGAGCTGCTGCGGCCGACATCCTAGAGCTCAGTGGCTGAAGCACACTTCTCCCAGCCCCGTGCCTGGTCTGCTTGCAGCCTTCCTGGGTGGCAGCCCCTCTTGGAGGAGGTCCAGTCTGAGTTGCTCCAGTTCTTGCCGTCCCCAGGAGGAGGA